ATGAGCAGGGGAGCTGATTGCCCGTTGGTAGTATGGGGTTAAAGTGAAGCTTCTGGTCACCATATTGGTACTCCCTAGTTAGAACGGTATCAATGTAAACAATCCGTGTGCTACAGCATCAAACAACGATGATGTTCTCATTTTCAGGGAGAATTAAGACTTTTAAAAAAAGTTAAATTCATCACTTTGACACAGACTGGCTGCTTCATAGCATCAGTAGATTATTTTACCTTCTAATAAAAAATCGGCCCATCACATTGCAGAGTCATTATGAAGTCATGAAGTCTATAAATCATGTAATATAACATATTATACAAATCTATCACAATAAAACTAATGTGTTAATAGAGCAGAATAATACAGATGAGCCAAAAGTGCTAAATTGATTATGTTTATGTAATATATATGTATTTATTACACTGTTATGGTAATTACATCTTACATATAATTTTAAGATTTTACATAAAGACTGAAATACAAGTACATATCTGTTAATGCTGTAATATTGTGCATGCATGATGCCAAATACTTTTATACTGTGTCTGTGCATTAGCCTAAAAATCTGACAGACTCAACTCAACTCAAACTTTATTTATAAAGCACATTTAAAACAACCGGGGTTGACCAAAGTGCTGTACAGGAATCACAATTAACATAAGATAAAAACTAAAGGCTAAAATACATAAACACATAAAAATAGAATAGGATAAATGTTTCAATTAAACTACATTTTAGAATAAAATAAAATTTAAAATAAAATAAAATTTGGCCAAATTTCCACTTAGACATGATTAAAAGCCAGGGAGAAGATTTGTGATTTTAAAGAGGATTTAAAAACCTCAAAGAAGCCTGCTGATCTAATATGCCATTTACAATAGAGCTAAATTAATTAACCTAATTAATAACTCCACAGAGTCACATAAATCACATAAATTGATAAAATAACTGGCAACATCAAGTTCATATTTTGCTTTTTTCTCTTAGTTAAAACAAGAATGTGATACTTTGAAAAAACTATACATGCAAGTATGTATGCACACACTAACACTGTTAGTGAAATTACCTCCCACAGCCGACAAACTGCTTGTTTTTGCAGCCAAATGCTGCACAGGGAGGCATTTTTATGGAGTGTCTCTGTGGGAGGGGGGAGTACCAACATGGCGGATGGTGGCTTCACTTTTTTGGGGCAATAAATCGAGATCAGTGGTGTGGCAGCAGCCAGAGTGAGGTGGAATAGTACCCAGAAGGTGGAGCAAGGAGCAGATTCATGACATTTCCAAGGTGGTACTAACAGGGTCAGCATCATCAGGTTAGAACCAATTAGATAACTACTGATGTAACACAAAAATTCCAAGCGAAACTTTCTGTTATTGTAATCTTTTAGTTTGTGAAACATATCATGACGCTGAGGAAACTCTCTAGTGAGCAGTCTCTACCACTTTTGCCTATAAAATATCATAATAAAAGGTGTGTTCTCCAGTAACTTCTAAGTTAAATGATAAAATACTTAATGTGTGCTTTTTCTTTATGTTTGCATATCTTACACTCATAATT